AAGAATAAAAGCCAACAAGTGCTGTTAAAATACACTTCCAAGTATGCTTTTCCTGGAGGCTCGAGAGAATCTCCGTGTTCTCTGAGTACTCCCCCCTTCCAGTCCCCCCTCCCCCTGCTACTTGGCCCATGTCCGAAACACACACCCGAGGCTTGCTGAAGGTTTTGTCTGCTGTTTCTACGCAGATTTCAGAGGCGGGAGACTACCTCGAAGCTAGACTGGTTGTCATATCTTGAACTGGGAGCTCGGTTTGCAGAAGGCAAAGAGTGCAAAGCTTGTAGCCACTGGGCATCCTGGAGGGCAGGGTAGGAGAGGAGGGTGGGTAGGAGCGGGCAGGGCCGGGCTCACCGGTTCGTCACCCGGGACAGAGGTACTTGCAATCGGCAGAGTGTGGGCAGCCGAGGTCTGAGCCAAAGACTCTCCTGCCTATGGGGTATTCTTAGTGGCCAGGACAAACCCTTTCCAAAGGGCTAGGACCACAGGCTGCAGCCTGGGTGGACAGTGGCCATTGGCCTCTGTGGGCTGCTGGTCCTGGGACCCCGTCCCTCACTGGCCAGCTCAGCAGGGCCTGGCTCACTTCGCATTTCTGGAGGCTTCAAATGCTGTGGGTGTCCTCCCAGGTCCTCACCTCCCTCTCTGTCACCTCCTCCAACTTCACAGGCCGGCCCAGTACAGGCGGAACCCCAAGACCCAGGAAAACCCGGCATAAGGACACAGGGGCGAGACAGGGCCCTTTCTGTCCTTTTGTGCGACATCCCAGTTTCCTTCTCTCTGGGCTCCAGGCCTCAACCTGAGAAACAGAGGGAGGGTGAGAAATTAACCCCAGAGGGGACGGCCATGCAGCAATCCCTTCTCCACAATCCTCCTGGGATTTTGGGCACGAGTGCACACACCCAGCGTGTTTCACGCTGCCGGGTTCAGGATGTGAAACGCAGTCAGCCACATGGGCGTCCAGCACCTTAACCACCGCGCCACCTGCTGGCCCTCTCAGTCTGATTTTGGTGGCTGTGAAAAATGACCTGGGGCCAGGGGAGGCCTGATAAAAGCCCTCTGAGACCTGGGAGAGGCAGCAACCAGGCCCGGCTGAGCCGTGGGCAGGCCCACCCGCTGCCTGGCTTGTGTGCTCGGCCCACATTGAACGAACAACACCCGCCGGTCCCCATCCTCATCGCCCGGAGAAGAGCATGTGCAGGATCCAAATGCACCCCTGACTGCCTTGGAGAGTCCGCCCTGCCCAGAAGTGGAGAATGTGTGAGATTTTGATCATGAGCAGCCAGGTGCAGGGAACTGCCCCGTGTAGACAGCCGACAGCCTGGGGGAGCATGTCACAGCAGAGGAGCCACTCCTCTGTCCCCGGCTCCCTTCGTGATGGTCCTAGAGGAGGAGGAGTCTGTGGGCCACACTGCCAGGGCCCACTCGACCTTTCAGAGCGGGTGCAGATCCTTGTGAGGGCCCTTCTGGCACAAGGGGCAGGGCCAGGACTTTGGGAACGAGGGTGGAAGCAGGGTGGGGGCTGGACTGAGCTTTGAAGTGGACTTCAGGAGACGGGACAGAGGCCTCCTTTGCTGGCCAGGGAGCAGTTCGGCTCAGTTTGCACGCAGCGTGTGGACTAGGGCTGGGGTCTCCAAGGACGAGTGCTCATGACTATCTCCTGAGATATGATAAGAAAGTTAATTTCTTTTTGAGAGGTTTTTGCTGTAGGGTACATGCGCTCACCAGAGACAGAGAGAGACAGAGAGACAGAAAGTGAGAAATCACCCCCCAGGGGGGATGGCCACGTCGCAATCCCTTCTCCTCCATTCTCCTCTTGGGATCTTTGGCACGCACACCCATGTGCCTAGTGTGAGTTTAAACCACTGGGTCTGGGACTCGAACCACGGTCAACCACACAGGAGTCCAGAAACATAGCCATTATGTCAACTGCTGGTCCCAATTTCTATTTATTTTTATGTAATTGTTTCGCATTTTTCTATTTTTGCCTATTTTACAATATATATTAGTCCAGTAAAATATGCATCTGCAGTTGTAAGGGAGAATGTACGCATATCAGGGGTGACGCGGTCGGAACAGTTTTGTTTTTTCCATTTTTTAATATAGATTTTTACTATAGGGTGCAGGTGCTTGCTGGAGGGATAGAGAGAGACAGAGAGACAGAGAGTGAGAAATCACACCCCCAGCGGGGGTGGCCAAACCACCCTCCATTCTCCTCTGGGATCTTGGGCACGCACACACGTGTCCAATGTGAGTTTTAAGGTGCTGGATCTGGGACTCAAACCACGGTTGACTATGTGGGAGTCCAGTGATGCAATCATTACGCCATCTGCTGGCCCCATGTTTTTCCAATTTTCTATAGGGTGAGTGCAGTCCCCAGAGAAAGAGAAAGTGAGAAATCACCCCGGGGGCATGGCCGTGCCACAGTCCCTTCTCTTCCATTCTCCTCTCGGGATCTTGGGCACGCATGCACACGCACCTGACATGTTTCTCAAGCCGCCGGGAGCAGGACTTGAACTGTGCCGTCAGCCAAATGGGATCCAGCAGCCTACCATCACAGCACGAACTGACTGAGTCAGGAACAGGTTTTTATAAATAATTTATTTAATCTTATTTATCATTTTTTAAAAACTTTGTTCAACAGAGAGAGACAGAGAAATAGACACAGAAGAGAGAGGGACAGTGAGAAAACCAGCCGCCAGGTCCAGGACTCACACCAGAGTCAGCCATGTGGGAGTCCGGTGCCTTAACCACCGTGCCACCTGCTAGTCCCCAGAGACTGCTTTAGTGCTGGGCTTACACTGGCAGGAGCATTTGGAAGCCCAGCCCAGGGGCACAGGTGCCGCTGTTATGGGGCCACAGGAAGGCCCTGGTTTCAGATCTTGGGGCCACCTGAACCCGCTGGCCCTGCCTGAGGGCAAGAGAGTCATCCTGGCTACTTGAAGGCTGGAGGGATTAAATAAATAATTATTTTTAAAAACCTGTTCCTGGAGGGACCAGCAGTTAGTGTAATGGCTATGTCGCTGGACTCCCACGTAGTCGACTGCGGTTCGAGTCCCAGACCCGGTGGCTTAAACTCACGCTAGGCGCGTGTGCGTGCATGCCCAAGATCCCGAGAGGAGAATGGAGGAGAAGGGATTGCGGCGTGGCCATCCCTCCTGGGGGGTGATTTCCTGCTTTCTGTCTCTCTGTCTCTCTCTGTCTGGCGAGCGCACGTGCCCTATAGCAAAAACCTCTCCAAAAAAAAAAACCATTCCTGACTCAGTCAGCACGTGCTCACAACCCTGCAATGCCCCATCAAGGGTACTGCTCCTCTTCTCCTCTCTCCAATCTTACTCTCTCACGTAAGACAAACTAAAAACAAAGAAGAACATTTGGAGATCACTGTATTTAAAGACTTTTTTTCTTGAGAGGTTTTCACAATAGGGAGTGTGCGCTCACCAAAAAGACAGAGAGAGACAGAAAGTGTCACAATCCCTTCTCCAATCTCCTCTCGGGATTTTGGGCATGCACGCACACGCACACACCTGGCATGAATTTAAGCCACTGGGCCTGGGACCCGAACTGCAGTTGACTACATGGGAGTCCAGCGACATAGCCATTATGCCAAATGCTGGTCCCTGTGTTTAGGGCCGTCTTAAAAGGGTTACCAGATGGCACAGTGGTTAAGTCACTAGCCTCCCACATGGCCAACCACAGTCTGAGTCCCCAGGAGGGCCGTGTTGGGGGCTTGGGTATCACTCCAGGCGCAAGTCCAAAATCCCGGGAGGAGAAGGAAGAAGGGGTGCTTCCTCCCTGGCAGGGTGATTTCTCACTTTCCCTCTCACTGTCTCTTGTCTGGTGAGTACAAAAACCTTATTTTTTTAAATGGGAGGAAAGAAAAAGGGCTCCCGATTGGATAGCTTTCTGTCCTCTTGTCGCCCCTGTGTAACTAGCCGAGGTACAGAGCAGTGCGGTGACTCGCTGGGCACACACTGAGTACAGGGACATCCAGACTGTCCGAGTCCTACCCCAGCCATCCCCCCATCTGTCCGTCCAGTCTCCGCCCAGCACCCCTCTGTCTATCACTCAGAGATTCCCGTCCCTCTTGGTGGGGGGCAGGGTCAGCTTCCTAAGCTCCAGGGTCTTTCAGACCCTCCTTCCTCTGCCCTCCCCAGTATTCTGCAGCTGCTTGTCACCCTGGCCTGAATCAAGGCCCTTCCTGGCCGTCTCTCGGGGTCTCACTGGAGCAAGGCTGCTGGACCTAGCTCCGGGTCAGGGCGTGCAGCTCACCAGAGGCACAGTCTGGACCTGCGGTCCGTCCAGAGGCTGTGCTGTGAGCCCTGTGTGGTCACTCCCCTCAGAGCTCGGGTTCCTGAGGACAAGAGTTTTCGTTGTTCGTTTGTTTCAGAGATTTCTCTATAGGGCGTGTGGACTCACCAGAGAGAGAGAAAGCGAGAAATCAACCCCCGGGGGGATGGCCACGCCGCAATCCCTTCTCCTCCATTCGCCTCCCGGGATCTTGGGCACACACGCACACGCGCCTGGCGTGAGTTTAAGCCACCGGGTCCGGGACTCAAGCTGCGGTTGGCTGTGTAGAAGTTCAGCGACATAGCCATCACATCATCTGCTGGTACCAAGAGCTTTATTTTGTGTTGCAATTAAGTCCAATGCAAATTATGCTTCAATCGATCCCAGACAAAAATACAAAGTAAAAAGCAAGGTAAGTTAAGCCAGCCGGGTAGTGTGGTGGTGAAGGTGCTAGATCCCACATGGCTGACTCTGTGGTCTGAGTCCGGGACCCGGCATCCAGAGAAACACACCAGGTGTGTGTGCATGCATGCCCAAAATCCCAAGGGGAGAATGGAGAAGGGATTGTGGTGTGACCCCCGCTGGGGGAGGAGGCTATTTTTCACTCTCTCTCTCTCTGGTGAGCACACAAGCCCTATGGTGAAAATGACAATGAAAAACCAGAACCGTGCTCCCGTCCCCACCTCGCCTCTCAGTGAGCTGTGCCTCCTCCCCTCCAGCCTAGGACCTCCGAGCCGGCGAGGACCCAGCCCATCAACCTGAACCACTACGCGACCAAGAAGAGCGTGGCGGAGAGCATGCTGGACGTGGCCCTCTTCATGTCCAACGCCATGCGGCTGAAGGCCGTGCTGGAGCAGGGCCCAGCCTCGCACTACTATGTCACCCTGGTCACCCTCATCAGCATCTCCCTGCTGCTGCAGGTGGCCATCGGCATCCTCCTGGTGCTCATTGGTGAGCCAGGCCTGCGCCCCCTGGTGGGAAGAGAAGTTCATACGTCCCATGAACCCCCAACCTCGCAGCCACACGCTAACCCAGGCTTGCCCTTCACACCTGCAAACGCTCAAACAACGATTCCTACCCAGCGAGGGCCAGCACCCTGCCCTCTTCCCCGGTATCCCACAGAGCAGGCACTCCACAATACCTGCCAGAGGACTGTCCTCCCCGATTGGTGACCAAGTGCCTTAGAGCCTTTTCACGAGCACTGGGCCCTACCTTGGAGGACCTGGTCAGAGTTCCCAAATCCCAGGTCTGTGGAGCAGCACGTGACGCCCCTTGCACTAGACAGCAAAGTCCTCGATTCCTGTTACAGGGGTCTCTGATGTAGACTCGCTCCTAACCTTTTTTCTTTCTTTTTTCTTTTCTTTTTCTTTTTTTTTTCTTTTTTTTTTTTTTTTTGAGAGGTTTTCGCTATAGGGCGCGTGCGCTCGCCAGACAGACAGAGAGAGACATAGAGACAGAAAGTGAGAAATCACCCCCCGGGGGGATGGTCACGCCGCAATCCCTTCTCCTCCATTCTCCTCTCGGGATCTTGGGCACGCACACGCACGCGCCCGGCGTGAGTTTTAAGCCACTGGGTCCGGGACGCGAACCGCGGTCAACTATGTGGGAGTCCAGCGACATAGCCATTACGCTAACTGCTGGTTCCCGACTCGCTCCTAACCTATCACGAGTGGGTGGCAGGAGGGGAGCTCCGGGCTGCAGCCCCTCTGACCGCCTCCCACCCCCCTCCGCAGCACGGCTGAACCTGAATGAGGTGGAGAAGCAGTGGCGACTAAACCAGCTCAACAATGCGGCCACCACCTTGGTGTTCATCACTGTCGTCATCAACGTGTTCATCACGGCCTTCGGTGCCCATAAGACAGGGCTCCTGGCTGCCCGGGCCACTGGGACCCACCTCTGAACATACCTGGGACTAGGTGAGGGAGAGGGTCGGCAGTCCCCAGCCTGAGGGCTCTCCAGGTGGCCCTGCTCGGTTAGATTTTTGTACACTCACCAGAGACAGAGAGGGAAAGTGAGAAGTCAACCCCAGAGGACATGGCTACACCACAATCCCTTCTCCATTCTCCCCTTGGGATTTTGGGCGCTCACGTACACACACCGGTCGGCAGTCCCCAGCCTGAGGGCTCTCCAGGTGGCCCTGCTCGGTTAGATTTTTGTACACTCACCAGAGACAGAGAGGGAAAGTGAGAAGTCAACCCCAGAGGACATGGCTACACCACAATCCCTTCTCCATTCTCCCCTTGGGATTTTGGGCGCTCACGTACACACACCGGTCGGCAGTCCCCAGCCTGAGGGCTCTCCAGGTGGCCCTGCTCGGTTAGATTTTTGTACACTCACCAGAGACAGAGAGGGAAAGTGAGAAGTCAACCCCAGAGGACATGGCTACACCACAATCCCTTCTCCATTCTCCCCTTGGGATTTTGGGCGCTCACGTACACACACCGGTCGGCAGTCCCCAGCCTGAGGGCTCTCCAGGTGGCCCTGCTCGGTTAGATTTTTGTACACTCACCAGAGACAGAGAGGGAAAGTGAGAAGTCAACCCCAGAGGACATGGCTACACCACAATCCCTTCTCCATTCTCCCCTTGGGATTTTGGGCGCTCACGTACACACACCGGTCGGCAGTCCCCAGCCTGAGGGCTCTCCAGGTGGCCCTGCTCGGTTAGATTTTTGTACACTCACCAGAGACAGAGAGGGAAAGTGAGAAGTCAACCCCAGAGGACATGGCTACACCACAATCCCTTCTCCATTCTCCCCTTGGGATTTTGGGCGCTCACGTACACACACCGGTCGGCAGTCCCCAGCCTGAGGGCTCTCCAGGTGGCCCTGCTCGGTTAGATTTTTGTACACTCACCAGAGACAGAGAGGGAAAGTGAGAAGTCAACCCCAGAGGACATGGCTACACCACAATCCCTTCTCCATTCTCCCCTTGGGATTTTGGGCGCTCACGTACACACACCGGTCGGCAGTCCCCAGCCTGAGGGCTCTCCAGGTGGCCCTGCTCGGTTAGATTTTTGTACACTCACCAGAGACAGAGAGGGAAAGTGAGAAGTCAACCCCAGAGGACATGGCTACACCACAATCCCTTCTCCATTCTCCCCTTGGGATTTTGGGCGCTCACGTACACACACCGGTCGGCAGTCCCCAGCCTGAGGGCTCTCCAGGTGGCCCTGCTCGGTTAGATTTTTGTACACTCACCAGAGACAGAGAGGGAAAGTGAGAAGTCAACCCCAGAGGACATGGCTACACCACAATCCCTTCTCCATTCTCCCCTTGGGATTTTGGGCGCTCACGTACACACACCGGTCGGCAGTCCCCAGCCTGAGGGCTCTCCAGGTGGCCCTGCTCGGTTAGATTTTTGTACACTCACCAGAGACAGAGAGGGAAAGTGAGAAGTCAACCCCAGAGGACATGGCTACACCACAATCCCTTCTCCATTCTCCCCTTGGGATTTTGGGCGCTCACGTACACACACCGGTCGGCAGTCCCCAGCCTGAGGGCTCTCCAGGTGGCCCTGCTCGGTTAGATTTTTGTACACTCACCAGAGACAGAGAGGGAAAGTGAGAAGTCAACCCCAGAGGACATGGCTACACCACAATCCCTTCTCCATTCTCCCCTTGGGATTTTGGGCGCTCACGTACACACACCGGTCGGCAGTCCCCAGCCTGAGGGCTCTCCAGGTGGCCCTGCTCGGTTAGATTTTTGTACACTCACCAGAGACAGAGAGGGAAAGTGAGAAGTCAACCCCAGAGGACATGGCTACACCACAATCCCTTCTCCATTCTCCCCTTGGGATTTTGGGCGCTCACGTACACACACCGGTCGGCAGTCCCCAGCCTGAGGGCTCTCCAGGTGGCCCTGCTCGGTTAGATTTTTGTACACTCACCAGAGACAGAGAGGGAAAGTGAGAAGTCAACCCCAGAGGACATGGCTACACCACAATCCCTTCTCTGTTCTCCTCTTGGGATTGTGGGCATGCACCTGCTGTTGCAGGTGGCCCTTGGCATCCTCCTGGCATGCACACGCACCTGGCATGATTTTCAGGCCACCAGGTCCAGGACTAGAACTGTGGCGTAGACCATGTGGGATCCAGCTGCCTTAACCACACACCACCTGCTGGCCCAAGGCTCAGATTCTTCCGTGGCCTAGAATGTGTGGGAGGCAAGGTGGTCAGTGGCTGACTCTGCCCCTCTGGCAAAAAGAGAGATGCAGACGTGGGATTTCTGCTTGGCATCGTCTAGCAGTCCTTGCCACTCAGACCACGGGCCACAGACCAATGGTATCCACAAAAAAACCAGGAGCAGGGCCAGCAGGTGGCATAATGGTTAAGGTGCTGGATTCCCACATGGCTGACTATGGTTCGAGTCCCAGATCTGGTGGCCTGAAACTCACACTGGGTGTGTATGCATGCCTGCCCAAAATCCCAGGAGGAGAAGAAAGAAGGGATTGCAGTGTGGCCATCCTCCTGGGGGTGATTTCTCACCTTCCCTCTCGTTGTCTTTCTCCTCTCCAGTGAGGACACATGCCCTATGGCAAAAACTTTACAAACAAAATCCACGAAACACTGAAGCTTGCTGGAGATGCAGTATTGCAGGCCCGCAGCAGCCCCGCATCTAGAAAGATGGCCAGGTGGCTCACATGCGCATCCAAGCTGGGGAGCACTGGCGCCCCCACTGCCTCTCTGCTTCCCCACAGGTGCCGGTCACGCTGCCTCTGCCAGCTCGCTCCCTGACCTGTCAGGCTGGCGGGCAGTCCTGGGACAGCGTCCAAGAGGGCCTCAGAGCTGCCGTGCCCCCAACCCACAGCACCTGGGCCAAGATGTGATGTTCTACTGGCCTAAGCGAATTCCACGCTGGGCTGAGCCCGAGCTCGGACATCTGGCTGGCCTCTCCTCCCCAGCAGCAGCTCCTACACGGAAGGCTTGACCGCCTGAGGCCGGGTCAGCAGCTGCAGGGCTCAGCTCTGACTCCGCCCCTCCCTCCCTCTGCCCAGGCCTCAGCTTGCTTTCTGTAGGACAGAATTATCCCCATTATAAAGGTTCTGCAAATCCAGTTTGCGTCCCTCTGTCTTTGGTCCAGAAGACCTGAACTCCAGCCTGGTCGCCATCTGTGTCCAGGAGGGGGCTCCAGGTCCCAGGTCACTCCTTCTCCGGAGTGTCCCTCTCTGAATCAGCCTTCCTGGCCCCAGATGCCTCGGGCTGATCGCCACCTGCTCCATCGACTGCAAGTTAGTCAGCCCGGGATCAGCGCAGACGCACGCAGTCCCTCCCACAACCACAGGTGCGTCCTAGCTTCTCACGGTCAGCTTGCCCACTGTTCTTTTTCTCTTTTCAGAGAGATTTTTGCTACAGGGCACGTGTACTCACCAGAGACAGGCAGAAAGGGAAAAAATACTGCCTGGGGGAGGACGGCCATGCCACAATCCCTTCTCCATTCTCTTCTCGGGATTTTGGGCACACACACACACACACACACACACGCACACACCTAATGTGAGTTTCAAGCCACCAGGTCTGGGTTTTTTCTCTTTTCAGAGAGATTTTTGCTACAGGGCACGTGTACTCACCAGAGACAGGCAGAAAGGGAAAAAATACTGCCTGGGGGAGGACGGCCATGCCACAATCCCTTCTCCATTCTCTTCTCGGGATTTTGGGCACACACACACACACACACACACACGCACACACCTAATGTGAGTTTCAAGCCACCAGGTCTGGGTTTGAAACC